GATAAATACACCAATAGGCATATAGACAGATTCCCTACATGTTAAATGAACGACAAAGCAACTATTATCCATTTCTTAGACAGCTGTAGGTCAGTTCTACAATGAAGTGCTGACCTTAAACACAGATCCATGTACAATAGTGTGAACCAGAGGGGAAGGAAAACAGTCTCTGGAACATCGCATCCTTATTGGACCAGAATTGCTTCATGGAATTTTGATCACAAGCGTGCTCTTTAAACAATGCCTCTGCAATGTTGAAATGCTTTGATAATTTGCCACCTTGGGGGGACCCTATTTGAGTGGACAGGTGACATGGAAATGTTTTAAATAAATGTGTGTTACTTTCTGTACCAAGGTAGCACACATTTTACAACAAGAAAAGCAAACTTCTGGATCCCGTTTAAATTAGGCCAGTGGGGGAGGGTTCTTGTTTGAGTAAATGAAAGGGGTTTTAATCTGAGTTGATAAAAGGTTTCAGCTTTAATATGGAATTGTAGAAAGTGCCCCAGTTGACAAGAGCAGCCTAGTCCACAAGAGATCCTTGCAAAAGAGTCTGTTCTTGTCTTGCTCGCACAACACGCTCCTTTGCTTTGCTTTCCAGAAAACAAACTGAATAGCTTCTGGCAGCTGATTCTGGATGAGAAAAAGCAGATTTTCACTTCAGAGAAATTCCTGCAATCTGCATCAGAGGAAGGTGAGTTGTAATATTTCAGAAGTTCCCCTTGGAACTTGCTTTTGCCATGCGGGCATATCTGCGTCTTCCTCTGCTTAGGCTATGCTATAGCTGGGTGAAGCACTAGGTCTAAAGGATGGGGCCACGTGGATGGGCTTGGAAGATCCCTCCAGCCCTTTGATACTTGTACAATGGATTAAAATGCCCATCTCCCTTTGATTTAAAAGGGTTATTAACCACAAGCTTTTCCATTGCTTCCTTTCTGGGCAAAAACTGCACGTTTGATTAGGTCACCATCAGCCTGGCCCATGTGTCAGCTGTGATTTAAATACTGAAGCCCCCTAAAGACTTCTGCATGCCTGAAGAACCTTTCTGTTCAACATCTTAAAAGATCAGCTTTTCCAAGAAAAGGCATTGCATCTCTTGTGTGATGCTCATCAGCCACAAGCTGGAAACTTGCCCGTAAAAAAAGAAGCAAGCTGAAACTTGCTCATTTAAATTTTTTTAAAAGTAACATGGAAGTTGAGATTTTTAGGAAGACAGTTTCTGTGGTCCTGTGGCATCATGAAATGCACGCAGCCCTGGCCATGATGAAGAAGATGAGATCAGACCCATATAATTCTGTGTTGTTGTTTTCTACAGCGATGTGTACTGTCCTACAGCTGACAGAGCGCCTCCTCTTGGACCATGAGCATCGGCTGCCTGGTGCTAAAGTCCAGTATGTATAGCTTAGTTTGGTTTCCCTTCAGTCCAATACCTTTGTGGTGACCTAAGAAAAGAGATTTATTTATTTAAATTTTTTAAACTCTGCTTTTGTCGCTATTGGGGACCCAGAGTAACTTGCAAAATTACAAACAGTAGAATGCACAAGATCCTGGGCTAGTCCTGGATCTGCTAGTCTGGTTCACTCAGGGCCGCAGTTGACTAAGTGCCAAGAACTCTTTGAATCTTACCCTTTAAGCTTACACCTCTGGCTCAGTACATATCTGAGAAGCCATGCAGACAAAATCCACAAAGGCAAGAAGGAAATAAAAATATAACCGGTCAGCTGACTGGATACATTTCCTGACAGTGTTGGCCACGGGTCAGGTCTCCTCCCCAGTCAGAACAGCACATGGATTAAATGAGACTGAATTGAACAAAACAAAGAACAGCGTCCGTGAGCTCTTTCTTTAGATAACTTGAAACCTGGAGCCTAGACCTCCCATTGGCTTAGTTCCAGTGGGAAACGAGAGGAGTTCTTCCCCACACACAGTCATGTGGGGGTTCACGGCCAATCTAGAGGTGTAGGGGAGACTGTGCACAGGTCATTCTGCTGGCTAGCCAGGCTTATTATGTACCTGTCAGAATGGTCAGACTGTGGGCAGACTATGACAACCTTTCCAGACAGTAACGTAGCTCCCTTCCTGGCTGAACCTTCCTGCCAGCGCCCTGGGAGTTTGGGTGACAGAAACACTGTTTCATCTTGGACACAGAGGGGAGGGCCTGGGCACCACAAACTTCTGAGCTTTTGAAGTGGAAGCCTTTTTTTTCACTTGACCATTCTGCCGGCTATCTGCCCCTTTCCCTTCCTACCTTGCGCTCTCTCCTTTCAGGCAGTATCACAAAGCCCTGGCCGCAGTCCTTCTCAGCCGGCCGTGGTGTGTCCGGAGGCTTGCCCAGCAGACTGCAAGAAAACTCTTGGCCTTGCCCGGGGGTTTCACGTTGGCTTACGGGCTCTTAGAAGAGCTGAAAGCAGTTCTCAGTTCTCATAAGGTAAATGTTCACTGGGCTAGCTGGAAGTTCAGCTATGCAGGATGGGACGGTTAACCGAAAGTGGCAATATAATGTTAACAGGTCTGCAGTGTTTAGTCCCAGTGAGGCCTGGAAAGTGCTGGGCCCCACACCTTTAAGTCCCAGAAACCCATTGTAAGGACTTGGTATCATGGTCACATGACAGGAAGAGAAGGAGCCAGAGTTATGGCCACACTGGTGTCTGAGCGAGAACCATTCACAGCAGATAAAGAGTCAAATTATACATTATCTTTTTCATGTGTTCCCCATAGCCACACAGCTGTGGCAGGAAACTGCTTCTTAAAAAAGAAAACAAAGACCCTACACTGGGGGGAGCAGTAATTTTGCTGCTCCACATAGAGCATCCTTTCCCCCCCTAGCATAGTTTTGAATGAGGAAACTGCTTGAGGGAGAGGCTGCTGGTGGTGTGTGGTTGCGGGGAACATGTGAAAATGCTTGAAGAAAGGTAACGTAGAGTTTGGCTCAAAGAGAGCTAGAAAAATAAGTATAAGCCAAGTATCCAAAGGTGTACTATAGTAAGAAGGAAGCCAAGAGGCAAAGTCCTGAGGAGTCCTCTACACTGATGTGTGACCTCTCCTCACTATCTTTCTCAATGTGCATGCGAAGGGACAGGACACGTAGTACACCAGCAGCATAACTTTTCAGAAGGAGCAGCTACAAGTATATGAGAGCTTGCAACCCAGTAATTGGCACCCTGTAACCTATTTGAGGCCCTGGCCCAAGGGTTGAAGACCAGTGAGTTACAGGAATTGATTTGTCCCCAGCTAATGAGGCAGTAGATGATTTGTAATAGAAATCCATAGAAGAACAGTAAAAAGCAAGCTTTGTTGTAGAAGTTGCATTCCCCTCTCTCTCTTGGCAAAGAGGGACTGGGGGTCCCCTTCCACCACCTCCCCCCTGTGTCCTTTCCCTGCTTGTGAGCCCACCCACATGCCCTTCCCCTGACAGCTCTGGACAGCTCATGCAGTTCGCAGGTTGGTGAAGGGTGTGCAGGCCGGCATCAAGAGAGGCAGGTGGAGGCGGCAGCAGTTGGCCCCACTGGAAGCCTTGGCCTCAGTAGCTACCTCACCTCAGGTATGCTGAAGGTGGCCCCTGCGTATATATGTGCATGTTATGTCATCTAAACACTGACTGCTTTCTTTTTTTGAAACTACTTTGATTTCTGTACATGCACAATCATGTATGCTTAAAAAATTGACTGCAGTTTAGGGTTACCATTCCCCAGGTTCTGGTGGGGGTTCCCCTGATTTTCAGGGCTTCTGCCTGCCACTAGCTAGTGGGGGAAACTCCACTCCCAAAAATCGACATCGCTGTATGATGTCCCCGACACAATGATGTCACATGGAAGTGACATCATCACGTAGGGAATGTTGCGTGGCAATGCTCTGGTCTGAGGGCAAAACTCTATGGTCTGAAGCCGATTTTACCATAGAGTTTTGCCCCAAAACTAGAGCGTCAGTGTGCAACGTCCCTGGCATGATGACATCACTTCCAGGTGACATCATTACGTTGGAGATGTCCTGGAACGTCCCCCAAATCTCCCTGCCAGTGCGATGAGGGGACCTGACAACCCTAAGTTTCTTTAATAATTGGAGAATTCTGAGTGCCAAGGAATATTACATCAAATTAGTAATTGCTAACCATGCATGCAAGTCTAAAATGAGAAGGAAATTAGCAATAAAATTGCTAAATTTGAAGTTAAAATGTGCATTTTAATTTGGCCTTCTTCAAAATCCTGGAAAGGGCAGCAGATGGGTATTTCAGTGTGCATCTGTGGGGAGGGGTTGCTGGGGAACAAAAGGAAATGTATGTGTGATGGGGGAAAGGCAACAGAACGTAAATTGCACCAAGAGGAGTTTTTAAAGATCCCTGTCTTCTTGGAGTAAAAACTACATTTTACAGCTCTACGGTTCTACTATAGAATTGTTCTTTAGCACATCCCTAGAGACTGATTAAAGTAGTAAGTGTGAATCAAAAGCTGACCATAGCAATGTGTGTTCTTCAGTATCCTAGTTCTCTTGGTATCGGCTCAGTGTTCAAAGTTCTTCAGGCCTTCATAAATAACTGTTTTGCCAAGTGCCTTGTTTAGGCTGATACGAGTCATTTCTTACATTGTTCGAAGAACACAGGATCCTCATTTTATCCTCTCAGCAACTCTGTGAGGTAGTTTAGGTGGAGAACAAAATATGTGTGACTGGCAAAAGGTCAGCCATGAGCTTTGTGCCAGGGTCTTAGTCCAGCATTCTAACCATTGTACCATAGAAAAGAACCAGAGTCCAGTAGCACTTTAAAGACTAACAAAATTTGTGGCAGGGCAGGAGCTTTCGTGAGTCACTGCTCACTTCTTCAGATACAGCTGGAGTGTGAGTCCATCTGTCCTTGTATCTTGGAGAGGGGAGTGATTTCAGATGCTGAATGACAATAGAAGGCAAATGACAATAGCAGGCGTGATTTGGATTAGGTGGGATATGCAGAGGGGGTAGTAGGTGCGGAGGTCAGCATTGGTAATGAGCTGTATCTGAAGAAGTGAGTTGTGACTCATGAAAGCTCATATCCTCCCACAGACGTTGTCAGCCTTTAAGGTACTACTGGACTCTTGCTCTTTTCTGCTGCTACAGACAGACTACCACCGCTACCCATCTTGATCTATCATTGTACCATACCAGCTCAGCTTCCGCCTTCTACTGCACTGTGTTTTTCCTTCCTATCTTCATCCTGTTACGACTTCTCTGCACCCAAGGGGTTTAGGGGCTCCGTTTTTAGGAGTGATACTCCTACCCCAGCCCACCCCTCAGCTCGTGCGCTGCAGGAGCAACGGTTCTCGTGTTGTTCCACGAGGCCTTAAACTGGCACTTGTTCGCCCCCAGGTGCTTCCAGCCGAGGCACTGGTGACGGAGTCTGGAGAGCTGTCTGAACAGGGGAGAACATACATTCCCCCTCGAGTCCTTCAGGAAATGTTGTGTGTGGTCTCGTCCGTGGCAGGGCTGGACGCAGATCCCGAGGAGAAGGAAAAGCTGGCCTTGGAGATGCTGCTTGTAAGCAATCACCCTTCCTTAGGTGAGTGTGTTTTTTTTTGGGGGGGGGCTGCCATTGGGTGTGGGCTTGTCTTGTCTTCTCCGAGGCCAGGGTGGGCATGCATTGCAGCCTCCTCTGAGTCACTCTGGCCATGTCTTTCTTCCCGTGGCAGGGCAGTCCGGTCTCTGGCCAGGCCTCCTGGTCAAGATGAAGCTCAACCCTGAAGATTTCATCACCCAACATGTAGGAAGCATTTTTGGCAGAATCGTCGCTCAAAGACCCATGAATAAGGTAACCAGTTTCATTCTTTGGGAATGCTTTTCAGTGATCTCTTTGGACAAGTGTGTGTTTGGGAGTGGGTGGGCTGGAAAGATACGAAGCTGCCTTGGGATGAGGGAGACGGTTGCTCTTTCTAGGTCAGTCCTATGGTGCAACATGCCGCAGCGGATCAGAGCCTTGAGCAAGAGTCTCCCCCTGGTTAAGTAAAGTTGTCGGGATTTGAATCTGTGGGTGCACGGCATGTGCGCCCTGGCAAGCTATGGCCCCTCCCCAAACGATACATATGGTTGACTTGCTGCTGCATTTCAGTAGATAGATTTTGACTTCAAAAATCTGTTATGGTACCTTGCTACCATAACAATTGATGTCAATCCTAAAAGAAATCAACCCTGACTGTTCCCTGGAAGGCCAGATAATGAAACTGAAGCTCAAATACTTTGGCCACCAAATGAGAAGGGAGCACTCACTGGAGAAGACCCTGATGCTGGGAAAGATTGAAGGTCAAAGAAGACGGGGACGGCAAAGGATGAGATGGTTGGACAGTGTCATCGATGCAACGAACATGAAATTGAGCCAACTTCAGAGGACGGTGGAAGACCAGAAGGCCTGGCGTGATCTGGTCCATGGGGTCGCAAAGAGTCGGACTCGACTGTGTGACTGAACAACAACAACACCTTGCAACTGTAACTTGTAAACATAACAGTCGTGATTTGGTTGAGAAAAAAGTTGGTTTCTAATATCTTTGAATATGCTTTATATCTGATATATATAGCTTACATGTTACATAATATCTAAAATATCTATATGTAATTCATCATTTGTACCTCTGAACAGTTTTTGATGTCTGTGAATACCTATTTTTTTTCTTTATACATGTAATTTCCCCTTCCCCTTCTTTTTTCTGTATCCCTATTTCCTTTTTTTCTTTAAAATATTATATACAAATATATATATATAAAATCTGTTTATAAATGCACATTAGTGCATGCTGCACTGGGAAGCCAGTGAGTGAAGCTGGGCCCCCCAGTATTCTCTACAGCTCCATTGCTGCCCCGAGATCAGCAAAACTAGCATAAATTATGCAGAATACTTAAATCTGCAAGTTTACTCTGCAGAATAAGAAATGTCACGATACAGATTTACATAAGGGTGAAGAACGTAGCTCCTTGTGGGTTGTTCTGCAGAACTGTAAGGTTTTTACCCTAAGAGTCCTGGGCACTGAGACCCTGAAATGGTGTTGCAATATGTAACTGTGGTGGGTTTTTTATCTGTCTCTCTTCTTTGACAGTCCTCTCTGAATGCAGTGGGCATGCTCTCCTCCCTGTCTCCCGGCAGGGTGCTCCCTCAAGTGATCAGCACCATTTCCACCTCTCTGGAAAACCCTGCTCTGGGTCAGGTGACACTGGAGGAGTTTGCCATCATGAAGACCCCTGAAGGGGAGCTGTATGACAAATCCATTCTGCAAAGGTGAGAAATGGATGATTAACGTTTTGGGGTGTTCAGAGAAGCCGCTATACCAAGGGGTGTGTGGATGAGTGAGTGTAACAGAGTTGATTTCTTGGCATTGTTCCGGCAATGAATGCTCCTCTGTTCTTTTCTTTGTTAGTGCACAGCAAGACAGCCTGAAAAAGGCCAACATGAAACGGGAAAACAAGGCTTATTCTTTCAAGGAACAGATCATTGAGCTGGAGCTGAAGGAGGTGAGGCTTTATGTGCTGCAGAAGTTAACGGAGAGCTGGTTTGGGGCATTAGGCAACATACTGCAGTGGAGAGAGATGGGTACAAATTCCTCCTGAACTCTGTAGGTGGCCTTGAGCCGCCTTGAGCCACCATGTAGGTCACCTTCACTTCCTTGGAGGAAGGCAGGGCAAAGGGATGTGATCATGTTTACAAAAAAACAACAACCCTGGAAAGGTTAACCAAACTAATGGCACAGGCAGTCTTTGAAGTTTGTGTTTTTGCTCTGTTAAGTCTGAGCACTGGCTTTGGGTGGCTTTGTGTATTATCTTAAAACATTTTGTTTTTGAAAACGATAAATATTTCGAGGTATGGAAAGTCAAACAAAGATAAAACAGGAGCTGAAGGACAATGGAGTGCAGTGGTTTCCAAGATACCGTGATTGTATGAACAATTCTGATCCAAAATTATTTGGTTAGGAGTTTTCAGGAAGTGGAGGTGGCACGTGATCCTGGGAGGATCCATTAATGTCTTCCAGGAATGGGTTAGTCCCAGTGGGTGGCTGTGCTTCTACTGCGTGGGAAGACTCCAGGGCTGGCAGGAAGCCCCTGAGGGCCCCAGGCTACTCCCAGCAAGCCCCTTAAGGCACCAGGCTCTCCCCAAACTCATGTTGTGCTGCTTCACCCACCTTAGGCCTGTCTTTGTTTTTTGTTTCTCATGCTTATTCATGAGCTTTAAGTTTCTGAAGGTGCTTCCCCCATTAACAAAAATAACACGGCTGGTCTTCTGCAGGAGATAAAGAAGAAGAAAGGAATTAAGGAAGAGGTCCAACTAACGAGCAAACAGAAGGAGATGCTGAATGCCCAGCTGGAAAAGGAATCTCGTACCAGGAAGCAACTGAAAGAGGCAAGTGGGGACAGAGTTCGGCTAAACCCAGCACCTGGTTGGGCATTCACAATTCCAGCAAAGTGCTTGCTATGAGGATATATGCAAAAAGGATATCTGTGTTGCAAGGATACCTGGGGACTTTGGTGTCTCTGTGTGTTTTGTTAACAGACATGTTGCATATCCCTTCCCCCTGTCAGGCCAGAGAGCAGATTCTTCCCTCATTGCAACTGTCTGGGGGGGATAAAAGGGTCAAGAGAAGCACTTGGTTGACCTCCCAACTTCCTCCAACCAACTTCCTGCCCTTGGTAGATTCCATAGAAGGAGTCTTCATGTAACCCTTTCCTGGATTTTGTTTCTTGATCATGCTGGAGAGAGCAGGTGGCTTTAGATGAAGACAGAGGTTGTTACAGTAGGAAGGGGGAAATGGTGCCTTTCCTCGCTGGAAATTCCCTTAGACCAAGGGTTCTAAATACCCTGGTATGCAGCCCGGTAAGCAGCCGCCACCACTCAGGACCTACTGAGAACCTGTAGCCTGACCTGCTGAGAAGGTAGTCTTCCAGAGCAGTACTAGAGCAATACCAAAATAACTTATACCCAACCTTTGCGGTCTAGCAAACGGGGGAAGAGATTAAGAGAAATGTCGCTGAGCAATAGATTGTACTAAGCAAAGCAAAAAAATTGTCTTTATACAAAGGTTTATCGTAAAACAGAGAGAAAAAGGAAAAGGGTAGTTGGATTCAAAAAGGGTGGGAAAAGGCAAAACAAAATACAGGGGAAACACACAGCAACAACAGCATAGAGATATTCAAATGAAAAGCAATACAGTTGAACTTACTAAGCTAAACTTGTTGCCTATGCTGTAGCTGGTTTCTCAGAACGTATGCAGAGTTCTATGTGGTAACAAGAAGTCAAAGGAGTCCTTAATTCCTACCGAGCTTCCCATGGACCCAGTTTCCACTGAAGACTGAAAACAAGGGAAGATCCCAGATATCCAGATATTTATGCTAGATGGAGTTGGACCTAAGCCAGCCTCCTTTCTAAGAACAATAAGCTGATTTCTCCCATCCCACACAAATCCTCACCTCTGATGTCAGAGGCCACTTTTACCAAGCAGAGCCAAATACAATATAGTCCCACTTCCACCGAGCACCTGGTAATGGCCCTCATGAGCCTTGGCAAGCTTTAGGATTTCTGTCACAGGGATGCAGGAACCGTGGGCAGGCACCCAGTTGCTATCAGTAACAGCTGAATGTTTCAGCCCAGCACCTGGGTTGTAGAAGTGGGCCAGGAGCTCACAGGGTGATCTTGGGTCCAGTTATGCTGTCCAAGCTAGCCTACCTCACAGGATGGTTGTGAGCATAAAATGTGGAATAAACAACCTTGTATGCTGCTGTGAGTTCCTTGGGGGAAGGACAGGATAAAAATACACGAAACAGGTAAGTTCATTAGTCTTTAAACTGCCATGGGACTCTTCAGTGGTTTGTTCTGTGGTTGCCCTGACAAAATAGAGGAATACGTTTATTTGTATGTTCTCATTTGGAACATGCTGGCTTTCTCTTTAGATCATGTTTTGAAAGTAACCTCTGCCGTATCTTCTTGCAGCTTGATGATGAATTGGAATCCATGCTGGGTCTTCTAGATGCCGTTCTAAAGAGGAACCCACCTGGTCTCTCTCAGTACATCCCTGCTCTCGTTGGCTCCTTCCTGCCTCTCTTAAAATCCCCACTGGCTGCTCCGCGGATTAAGACTCCTTTCCTTTCTTTGGCGTCCTGCGTGATGCCTGCTCACTTGAAGACTTTTGGTTAGTGTTGATAAAGCTTCAGTTTTATTAAACAGCATTTTATGAAACTGCGTCCCTTTTTCTGAGAGGCTTAAAATGGCTCGCATGAAATAAAGCTCAGTAGAACATCATAATGAAAAAAACTGATAGGGCACATGGCTAGCAGTAATTAAGAAATCGATATTGTCTACAGACTTTCTGTTAGGACAAAAAAGCTGCTGAGGGGAGCCCTGCTTGACAACTGATTTTTAGCAGGGGCCTTGCTGTGATCTGAGCAAGGGCGAAAAGGCCAGCCTCACTCGTTTTGCAGCATGAGCAGAGCCAGAGAAGAGGCAAAGTTCTGTCCCTGCATAGCTAGGCTGCCCAGGTTGCCCACTTTGGCAGGCAGCCTCCCACCGATCACCTGTGTCTCCTGCTGCTGCTCCATGAGGAGTGGGAGAAAAATGGGAACAAAAGGGCATCCGTTGATACCGTGACATCAGTTTCTGCTGGGTAAACAAAGTGACATCAGTGGATGCCATTTGGGTAAGTCCCACCCTCCGTAGTCTCTTGGGGCTTGCCAGCCCTTGGCTGGTAATCTTAAGCAGGAGTAATGTTTTTGTGGCGGTGCTCTGCATTGTGTGTCCATAAAAGTAAAAGGGCAGAAACCTTGATGAGTGAAGTCCCTGCTCCACTCACCCACCCTGCCTCCAGTATGCATATATGACCCCCCCCCCCCGAGTTATTTCTGGGTGCCAAAACAACAAGTCATCTGGCCTCCTGTGGTCCACGTTCAGCCCACAAGCATTGTTTTCTCCTGGGAGGCAGTAACTATGTAGACAGAGCTCTGTAAGTGTTTTGTGTTTAACCCTCTGCTGGTTGAGAGGGAGTTCCTCAGTTCTGAGAGGAAAAGAGTACCCTGGGCTCCCTCTGACGTAATTTTTGTTTCAGCTGGTGCTTTTCATGAAGAGGTCTCTTGTCTTCTTCCCCTCCCCCTTCAAAGTTCTGGTCCCCAAGGATAAAAATGTTGGCCCCACCCCATTTTAAAAGAGAGTCAAGAACATGGAGCTTCGACCAAATGTGCCCACAGCACAGCTTGTGTTCTGTATTCAGTGGTGCCGCCACATCCAGGCAGCTTCCTGAAGTTCTTATTTTTGTTTGGCTTCTGTAAAACTACCTTTGCAGCCAGCCAGATCCAAAGATCCTGCTGTTCTTCCCCTTTTTGCAGGTACCTTAGTGAGTCATGTGACTCTGCGGTTGATGAAACCAGAATGCGATTTGGATGAATCCTGGTGCCAGGAAGACCTGCCCACCGCTGTCCATCGAGTGGCTAACTTGCTCCATGCAAACACTGTTCGTGGCCGGATGAGCAAGGGGGAGGCTGCGGGTGAGGCAATTCTCCAATTCTTCAATTTGTAGAAACTTTGCTTTCATCTCTTGGGTCTTTTTTGCTTGTTCGTTCTAGTTTGCTTGCAACTGAAACAGAAAAAGATCCTGCATTTGCTAGTCAAGCCCCAGACTTAATTCCAGATATAACTTTGGCCTTGTCTACATATTCAGCAGACTGAGGCAGTAGCAACCCCCGGGGGTGGCAGAATGCTCCTCATCGCTTGTGACTGTAGGTGGCAGATCTCAAAGGGAGCTGCCTTATTTGGAACCAGAACACTGGTTCAGCTAGCTTGGTACTGTCTGGTCTGACCGTCACTAGCTTTCCAAAGGACCCAGGCAGAGAAGGGATCCTTTATCTGAAGGAGGGAGGGATTGAGCCCTGGGGCCTTCTGCGTGCAAAGCCAAATGGCCCATGGTCCTGCCCTTCATTCTGAATGGTTCCTCAACATAAAGACAGCTGGCTTAGTGGGGAGTGGGCTAGAACTGCGTCCTTGCCCAGCACTCTTATGCAACAAGCCAAAGCATTATGCCTGCCCATAGCATGTGGGGAAGTAGCCTCACTCACTGACATCTCTTGGTTTTCTTCTGCTTCTCGTAGGCCCTGTGCCATTATCAGCTCCAGCATTTTCCTTAGTTTTTCCTCTCCTAAAGATGGTGTTGCTGGAAACTCCCAATGATAGTGAAGAGAAGGAAGAACTTCTGGTCAAGGTCCTGCAGACCATCACAGTACATGCACAACTTCGGTCATCTACAAATAACCAGAGTTTGCTGGTCGATGAGGTTAGAGTTGTTTCTGTCCTTCAGAAACGTGCGGGGGGCATTTCGACTTTTTTGTGTGTTTTTGAAGCCTGCTCGTTCCCACAGGATCTGAGTCAGTCCTGTTAAACAGAATGTTAACAAATGTATGATAAACAGAAATCATTATTAAATATATGGCTAAAAAAGTAAACCAAAAGTATGTGACGTTTAGGCAAGAAAATCTAAACCGTGAAACCGATAGACCTGCATACTAGCTATCTGTCCCATCTTGTGCTTTTTGGTTTGAGAGCTACTCCCAGGCCTGCCACAGCATCGTGGTCCCCAGTCACCTTCTTCCTAAGTTACTGTCATTTAAACACACGAGGGCACTTTTAAATTCTTCCCCATCCTTTTGAATGGCTGGCCTGATCTCATCAGATCTCGGGAAGCTAAGTAGGGTCGGCCCTGATTAGTACTTGGATGGGAGACCACCAAGGAAGTCCAGGATTGCTACGCAGAGGCAGGCAGTGGCAAACCACCTCAGCCTAATCACTTGCCTCAAAAACCCAAGGGGTTCTCCATAGGTCAGCTGTGACTAGGTGGCAAAAAACAAAAATTCTTTTGACTCCCTTGCTTTACACCCCAGAGGGTTCTTTCTTCCTCCTCTTTTTGTATTTCTTTGCTTATAGAGGGAAATATAATAGTTGCCCAATCCCTAACGGTCTCAACTCCTGGACAGAGTGGAACTTACCTTTGGTTGTGAGCTACCTATTCCCCATGGGCTGTGCTGCCGCTCTCAATAATAAGATGAAGCCACTTTAATGACAAATGCTTATGCTTCCCTCTTTTGTGCTGTTTCTGAATACTTGTCAGAATGGTCCTGAATTACTGCCTCGTACAGACATGCTGCTGCTCCTGACCAAAGTGATTGGAACCGGCTCTCCACGACTGCAGGTGAGTTGGCCAGTTATTCCAGAGCAGGTATGGCCAACAGTTCGCCCATGGGCCAGATGCAGGCCCCTGGAGCTGTTGTCTCATTGTCCCTGATGACCTTACTAATATTTTCAAATTGTTAGCAGTAGGAATTCTATACTTCTGATATGACATAATATCTGTTTTGGATTTTCTGTGAGTGCAAGCATTCCATTAACTGAAGCCCTTCCTGCAAGGTGGTGCCAACTTCACCATGGAGTTGACACCTTCCAGTCCTTGTCTGGGACTATGGAGTAGTGCTCAGGATTATAGACATTGACCATCCCATTTCTAGTGCATGGGTGGCCCTGTGGTTCTGAGTGGTTGTGCACTTGGCTGGCAACTCCAGAGGTATCTGTTAGGTGGGAGGGGGAGGACCTCTGCATGAGACCTTAGGGGAAATCAGATGCCATTCTTAAATAGACAGTACTTGGCAAGGTGGCCAGTTGCCCACCGTTAATGTACTTCATAGATCATTGATTAGAATATTTGGTTCCAGGATTCCTGTGGAACCTCTGATCTCACGAGAATGTGCTATTTTTTCTTGCTAGTTGAGATGGGGAGTGGGCAGGTTTGCCTTGGCCAAAGTGATCGCTTCGAGAGAAATTGTAAAGCAAAGAATTCACTTATAATAGTGCTGTGGTTAGCACACTCCTATGATCTCTATTCAGGGCAGTTTTTGAACTGCAGAAGGCAGTGTACGAATAACTCAAATGTTCACACTGTGAAAGTGAATTTTGACTACCCATTCTAAATCTGTTGACATTTCTCAGGTTTTGGCTTCAAATGCACTGACAGCTTTGTGCGCCAGCAGTAGCGGAGAGGATGGTTGTGCCTATGCAGAGCAAGAGGAAATAGATGTGTTACTCCAAGCCCTTCAGTCTCCGTGCATGAACGTTCGTGATGCAGCTCTCCGGGTCAGTTGGAATCACATTCTCTTTTGGATTGGAGGAGTTCTTTGCTTGCTGCCATCCTTCACTCTTCCTCATGTCTTGAAGTTTATGCTAAATTTATTTACCTAAAACATGAGTGTGCTGTTTTTCGGCTGAATTAGGGCCCTCAAGGGTGGCGAATCATTTAAGAAATGTTATATACATTATATAAAATAAGCAGTCTAGAACAAACAAGGAGGGTCAGTCAGTGAGGGCTCACCAGGCAAAAGAAGAAGAAGAAGAGATTGGATTTATACCCCACCCTTCACTTGGAGTCTCAGAGTGGCTTACAAATTCCTTTCCCTTCCCCCACAACAGACACTCTGTGACAGAAGAGACTTTGCTTGCTGATGGAAAACAGTGATGGGAGGGGGGAGTAGACAACTCTCCCTGGGGATTATGAATATGGAAGGATCTTCCACTGACCGTGGCTATTAAATCCAGTGCCCAGGGTCAAGGGGGATGCCAGGTACCGGGGAGAAAAAAGGGGGAGAGCTATTGCCTTAATTCCTTGCTTGTCAACATTGCATAGTCTGACCCAGGGGTCATTTCGTAGAAAAAGAGGTGCAGGAGCTCATTAGCATAACTTATTAGCACAACTTATTTGCATTTGCCACACCCCCTGACATTACCGGAAGTGTGTCAGAAGGCAACACCCACCGCTCAGCATCCTGTGGTTGTGGCTTTTTGCCACAGTAAGAAAGGCAGTGAAAAGGGCAACGCATAGGAGCATGTTGCTGTTCCCTGTTACGTGGAGCAGTGGGTGAACAGCTCAACATGCAAACTGCAAGCAATGGAAGAAAGAGTTCAGCCACTTCCTAGTTTACCTTACACCAGACAGTTCCTGTGATTGAAGTCTTGAGATGCCAGGCAGCGGGGAAGTTGAAGACCAGCTTTGTACTGATTTGTCTGGTTGATTTCTGTTCAGGGATTGATGGAGTTACAGATGGTGCTGCCAACTCCAGATAGTGATGAGAAGAACGGGCTGAACCTCTTGCGCCGTCTCTGGGTGGTGAACTTTGACAAGGAAGAAGAAATTCGAAAGTTGGCAGAGAGGTGAGGTATCATTTGCAGTCTTTTTTTCTCCCACAGGAAGATAGTCCAAATGGTGAGTGGATATCATTCTTCTGGGACCTGAGGTCATATGTTCACGGCCTTTGAACATGCCAAGCTGCCTTTGGTTGCATTGGAGCGTTTGCACACTCTTACTGGCAGTCATTCTCCAGAGTCCCAGGCAGAGAATCATCTTTCCCAACACCTGCTACCTGAGATGACTTTATAACAGGAGTTGCCAGGGATTGGGCAGTAGAAATGCAAAGTGCATGCTATATCACTAAGCTGTGGGGGGCTCTCCCCCTTCTGTATTTTTACTTTCTGCCTCGATGGAGAAATCGAACACATTTTTCTAAAACACTCAGTTTTACATAAGCCAAGTTTTCAGTTTGGTTTTCTTTCTCCTATATCCGATGCAGAAACTCTACAATGTAGGTTTTACTTTCCCTGTGAAGTCTATTCCAGCCAGTTTGGTGTGAGCCAGTTTGGTGTAGGAGAGCCAGTTTGGTGTAGTGGTTAAGTGTGCGGACTCTAATCTGGGAGAACTGGGTTTGATTCCCCATTCCTCCCCTTGCACCTGCTGGATGACCTTGGGCAAGCCATAGATCTGGCACAGCTGTTCTTGAAAAACAGCAGTTTCTGTCAGAGCTCTCTCAGCCCCAGGGTGTCTTTTGTGGGGAGGGGAAGGGAAAGGAGTTTGTAAACTGCTCTGAGACTCCTTTGGGTAGTGAAGGGCGGGGTATAAATCCAATCTCTTCTCTTCTTCTTTCCCCATGGCCCAAGGTGACTTACAATAAGTAATTAAAAACATGAAATAAACAATGAAATCCCAGTTTGCATCTTCCCCAACTTAATGCAGTGTTTGCAACTTTTAAACTTAAAAGCTCTGGTAAATCAAATAGTTGGATTAGGGTGGATCACTGATGTGATCCAGCAGGCTTCTTTTTGTGTCCTTACACTGGGTATATTATTTACTTCATTTATACCTCATCCTTCTCCCCAGTGGGGACCCAAGGTGGCTTACAATAATCCTCCTCTCTTCCACTTTATCCCCACAACAACCCTGTGACGTAGGTTAGGCTGAGAGTTTGTAGCTGGTCTGAGGCCACCTAGCATGCTTTCATGGCAGAGTGGGGATTCGAACCTGGGTCTCTCAGATCCTAGTCCAACACTCTAAGCACTACACACCACCGGCTCTCCTTTTTGTAAGTGGATGAAAGCTCATTCTCAGGCAGCTGAACTCTGTGGCCAGGGCCACGGTCTGTGATCTCCACTGCTCCCTGACATGAATTACAAAAATCCCTCGAACCCAAAGTTTTCTGTATTATTGCTGCCTGAGTGCGAGACGGAGGATGGCCATTTCACTTCCTTTGTTACCTGCAGGCTGTGGGAGTCGATGGGGCTGGAGCTGCAGGCGGATATCTGCTCGGTGTTGATCAAAGATGTCATCCACTACGAGGAAGCCGTGCGGCAGGCAGGTGCTGAGGCGCTTTCCAAGAGCGTTGAACAGTACCGAAGCCAAACGAGGGATGTCATGACCAAACTGATGGAGATTTATCAGGAGAAACTCTATGTAAGTTCCAAGAAATAATGTCACCCCCGCAGATGGAAGCTGCTGTCTCCACCTCTCATGGTGCCTGAACAGTCTTCCCCCCCCCAAAATGGACTCCTATCTCTTTCTCTCTTATCAGAGGCCTCCTCCAGTTCTGGATGCTCTTGGACGTGTGATATCTGAATCGCCACCTGACCAGTGGGAAGCTAGGTACTCCCTGTTTAAATTCTGACACTCTTAATCTAAACAAAATATTCCACGCTTTCTCTTGTTTTTATATAATGTAATAACTAGCATGTTATCCTGACAGGTGTGGCATTGCTTTGGCCCTGAACAAACTTTCTCAGCATCTGGATAGCTCACAGGTGAAGCCTCTTTTCCAATTCTTTGTCCCTGATGCCCTTAATGATCGCAATCCTGAGGTCCGAAAATGTATGCTGGATGCAGCCCTCTCTGCGCTCAATACCCATGGCAAGGCAAGTTGGATTTGATCTCTCGTTTAGCATTCAAATAGGTACAAGTGGGAGAACTGCATGGAGTTATGGGGTGCATCCCATTTCCCCTGCCCCATTATATCTTCTTTCCCTTTCCTGAAAGCCCGCCTTGCCCCTCTCCCCTTTTCCTGCTTTCTCCTCTCCTTTCCATCCACCAGCCAACTACCTTTAACTGCTTCCATATATTGAGCTTTCCTTCCTTCCCTCCCCCTGGCAGCCTCTCCCCAGGAAACTGTGGCCCAGTTGTGTGATGCCACTGTGCTGAGCCAATTCGCGCTAGGGGGAACCTGCAAGGACTGAAAGTACTTCACTTTCTCCTGTATCCCATTCCCACACTGTTTTCTCTTTCCCCCCTCCTAGCAACCCCCATATCCTCCTCTCTTTCAAACCCATTCACATTTTATCTGCCCCCCCCCTCATCTTCAACTATATTTGATGTTTATTTGCTTCATTTATATCCTACCTTTCTCCACAGTTTGGACCCAAAGCGGCTTACATCATTCCCCTGTCCTGCATGTTACCCTCACAACAACCCTGTGAGGTTGGCTAGGCTGAGAATGTGTGGCTGGCTCAAAGTCATCTGCTGAGCTCCCTCAGCCGAGTGGGGATTCAAACCTGAATCTCCTAGATCATAGTCTGAAACTCTTAACCAGTACACCATACTCTGGCTTTAGTGGGCTGACTGCTTTTGAACAATAGTAAGCAGCTGGACCTACGTGAGTCATGCAGGCTGCATGGCATCAAGTCACCCAGTGGTTGCTGGTGGGCCTGGCCCCACTGAGTCCTTTCTCAAAGGCTAAAAGAGCCTGAAAAGGGCCCTCCTCTCTTCCCCTGCCTTTTAGTGACAGAATGGAATGCTGGCAAAACTGTTGCGGTTGCCTAGCAACAGCCACTGAGGGCATCCATCTCTTAAACTACAGGTGCTCCTTTTATCATTTTGGGTTTTTAACTCCCCCAACGTATTTTTTTTAAAGATTTCAGATCCTCCGCGGCGCCCCCCCCCCCCCCGCAGATTCGTATGTTCTTGTCCATTCCTCTTTTTTTCTCCCGGTTTTCAGATTTTTCTGCAGTCCTGGGGCATTACCCAAGTTTGTAGAAAAATTCTCCTGTATAAATGGGCCCGATCCGTAAATGGGCCCACACTTCACTATTAGATTGAGAAGAGATGATTGAGAAGGGAATGAAGTGCAGTGTTGAAATCCAGGTCTAAGAAAAGTGTTTGGAAGATATATTCCCAAGCGTGTATAGTTTAGCAGTTAGGAGAGCAAGTTCTGAATCGGGAAGTCCTCAGTTCTAGTCTCACCTTAGCCTTGGTGGGTGGTCTAGCAATGGCAAGCCATTATTGCCTCAGCCTCAGATTCCCATCTGTACTGTTGGAATAATACTGACCATGTGTATAAATACAGTCCCTCTATAGTAGTCAGAGCTGTTGTGCTACATTTCAGTTACGTTAGAAGGGCTAAACTTGGGATAGGAAATGTGGACAAATCCATCCTTCTATGTGGTGTGTTTGCCTTCTTTTGCTAACATTACTTAAATTTTGCTAACATTATGTATATTATTTATTTAAATTTGAATTGAAAAATCTTCCCAGAAAAACCTGCATCCCTCTCTCAGGCAGAGAAATGTTAGTAGTTCCAGACATCCACTACCCTTTCCAACTGGGACCTTCTTTATGCAAAGTGGTTGTTCTGCCTCCGTGACCCCCTGCCCTCAGAATTCCGGTGGTACTTTTATTGTCCTCCCCATATCAAAAAATGAGAGCACAGGAAACAGTGCCTGCAATTACAAGCTCTCAGGTAGTTTCTTTCAAAAACTTAGAAGAACAGATTTTTCTGTGGGGTAATTTTGGATTTAACTATGGATTAAAAGCTCCACCTCCACTACCCAGCTGTGCTTAAGTGGTTTTCTTCTGGTCATGGGTAACAATATCTTGACTTTCAGGACAGTGTTAACTCCCTGTTGCCAGTTTTCGAGGAGTTCCTGAAGAACGCGCCAAATGATGCCAGCTATGATGCCGTCAGGCAGAGCGTGGTCATTCTGATGGGGTCTCTGGCCAAACATTTGGACAAGAGTGATCCTAAAGTGAAACCAATCGTTGCAAAACTGATAGCAGCACTCTCCACTCCATCCCAACAGGTAGTGTATTCTGCTCTCTTGCCACAATGGCAGAACAAATCTGTGGACCTTCCCATGCCGAATATGCACAAGCCCCCACTTCGTACAATACATGGAAGTGCAAATACACGAAGCCATTGTAGGAAGCACACTAACCAAAGTCTCAGTCACCTAAAGAAGTGTTCTGTTATTTTGAAACCTTTTGTAATGGTGCCAGTTATTATCTTCAAAGCCTTAAATGCCCTGCACGGCTTCCTTCTCTTTTGCCTCCTTTCCTCACTAAGGCATAGCAGAGGCCCCCCCTTCTTTATGGCTTCTCCATTGTGGCACTGTCCTAATGTAAAGTTTCTTTGGGCTCTACTTTGATTTAATTTTCCTGGCTGTTTCAGAAGGTTTTTTTTCCAATGGACTGAATTTTATTGCAGGCCAGTAGAGCACTTTATATTTAATATTATTTATCTACAAATTTTGTAAATAACAACAATAATGTATCACAATACATGTAAAACCTGAATAAAGCAGCAGTTCAACAATAAAGATCAAGTAGTATCAGTAATAATTCATGTTCCATAGATGGGCATAATGAAATTGGTGGGCAAGTATGCAATAGGATCATACAGAGTTTGAACTGGAGTATTAAAATATTTAAACCAGGAGACAGCTGCATTTCATTGGTAAATAAATAAATCTTGGAGATTTGCTGTATAGATTCTTTCCCCAGCAAATTTGGAGAAAGGCAACCTATTTGTGAAGTTAGTTAGATTTAGAACAGATCCCATTGGGGAGGAGTAAAAAAACTTGTAAAACTTCCTTTCAGATTGGTATTACTTCATGCTCCAAGTATTCTCCTTCAGTAAAAAGGGTTGATGCTGTGTGCTTTAAATTTTAACTTGGAGGGTTTCTTTAAAATGGCATTGGAATCAGTTGGATCTTAATCAGGGGGAAATGAAATGCTGCATCTCCAGAGTTGGCCGCTTGAGGGTGCACATGTCATCAGAATGCTCTCAGGAGGATGAAGACTTATTTAACAAAACAGTTAAGGAAGTGGTAACTTATATGTACTTTATACTCTTCCTTCTAGAAGATTTTAGTTGAACAGAAAATTGCATGAGTCTACGAGACCCGACAGGAACAAACACCTTCCCTTTACTATAAACAATAATCTGATTTTATATCTTAAGACTGAGCAATTGTCAAAACGTCTTTATTTTTAAGTGTTGACCCTGTTAGGGATCTGTTTAACGCAGATATCTGAACAGTGAAGTGCTACTTTTGTGGTTAGGAGAGATTCGTGTAGGAAAAATATTCTTCAGCTGTCAGAAGTTCATGAAGCACTGGGTCAGCTGGCATACCTCCGGTAAACCTATCAGTGCTACCTCTTACAGGTTCAGGAGTCTGTGGCCGGCTGCCTGCCGCCACTTGTGCCTGCGATCAAAGAAGATGCAGGAGGAATGATCCAGAAACTGATGCAGCTGCTGCTGGAATCGGATAAGTACGCTGAAAGGAAAGGGGCCGCCTACGGGCTAGCCGGCCTGGTGAAAGGCCTCGGCATCCTCTCACTGAAGCAGCAGGAGATGATGGCCACTCTGACCGACGCCATCCAGGACAAGAAGAACTTCCGGCGGCGAGAAGGTGAATGGAGCGTGCTTTTCTCCTTGACCTGGGCTGCTCTGCTTACATAGCTCAGACCAGGGGTGCTGTTAGTGCAGACTGATTGGCGCTACCAGTTTGAACATGGCCATTTAGAGTGGCATGACTCTAGAGATGGGGGTGTAGAGCAGCTATCCCTAACTTTGTCTTGGTCCTGCTGCTGAGAGGCTGCAGTTTGAACATAGATTCTGGATGTCAGCTTGAAGCTCCACTCCAGAGGACTAAAGTCAGGTTTACAGAAAGAGCCCATTGCTCTCAGTTGGCAAGAGTGTTTCTTCCTTAGCTGTGTGCTGGTCCAGTATCTGAGAATCAGCACAGACAAGTGATTTGGCTGCGGGCTGATTGATGCGTTGTCCTTGCTGACTGTTCTGTCTCTCATTAGGGGCCTTGTTTGCCTTTGAGATGCTCTGCACCATGCTTGGGAAGCTCTTTGAGCCCTACGTGGTTCATGTGTTACCCCACTTGCTGCTCTGCTTTGGAGATGGAAATCAGTACGTCCGAGAGGTAAGGGGTGTGGTGTTCCCAAGAATGCAGGCAGGCAAAGAGCTTTAACCTTTCCACCTGCTTTTCCATTGTATGGAATCCAAGCGAGAGGGAACCTTGTGCTCATTTAGGACTTCCTACAGCTGAGAGGAAAGGGGTTATCACTGAGGACGGGGTGGACCACAGGTCGGTGGTAGACTGCCTGCTTTGCATGCATCAGGTCCCAAGCATCTCTTGAAAAGCCCGCCTTTTCTTTCCATGGCTCTCCACACTTCTCCCTCTCCCTGGGATTAGGTTGCTCCCTGGCCAGTGAGCAGGACCTGTCAGACAATAGACAGCATTGTGTACTGATCAGAGTGCTGCACTAAGATCTGGAAGACCCAAGTGTGATTCTTTGCTTTGCCTTGGGAGCTCACCGGGGGTGATCTTGGGCCTGTCATACCTCTCTCAGCCTAAGTTTCTTCACAAGGCTTTTGCTGTGAGGATAAAAATGCAGGAGGGAAGAGCCATGATGTAATCCGCTTTGGGTTCCCACTGGGGAGAATAGCAAGGTATAAACATCCAAATAAATAAACAGCTTGAAGATACTTCTTGCTCCTACTAGCAGAGGAGTGTCCATCTAGGGTAGGTTCTGCCTGCTGATGTGCTGGACCAGTCTGCAGCCCAGCACTTACTGCAGTGCATGATTTTTAAAAGAAAGAAAAGCACAAATGGCAGGAAAAGGAAAGGGGGAAGTGTGGTGTTCTTTGATTCCTTGTGGCAAATGGGCAAGGTATTATAGATCCCTTGTATTGGGGGGGGGGGGGGGGCGGGGGGCTCCTAACATTCGTCTGAAGCCCTGGCAATGGAGGCATAGTAAGTGCCCCTCCCAGAGGATTTACTCGGAGGAGGAAAGAGGTTGAATTGAGAGTCCAGCCATAGTCACACTGTAACTGAGCAAGGAAGGCACTGGAGGCCTTAACAAGAACAAGGAGAGCATTACAGTGCTGAAAAACTGGGAGAAGGCAGTGCCAAGCCAGGAGTGGCAAAAGATGCCCCCACCTTAAGGATACAGGGCATTTTTATGGGCATCCCTCATAGTTGTGTTGCAAGAATCGGCTGGCTTCCTTTGCCAGTAGAGGAATAAAATGCTTCCAGAAACCAGAGGGATCCTGCCTAATAGGGTGGGAGTAGCAGGATCCAGTCTGACTCCTGGTGGGAGTGAATACTCATGAGTGTTAATGTTGTTATCCTTTAGTCTGTGTGGCTGTGGTTTTCACCCCCACCCCCACCTCCCCTCCCCTGCGCCACCTCTGCACTCACCACCACCACTGCTGGAAGTAAGCCTCATCCTCCCTCAGCTTGAATGCAGGTTAAAATTACGTTTGTCAGTTGGATCTTGGCAAAAAGTGAGGGCAGAGCCTAAACATGATCTCCTGTTCCTCAAGGCTGCAGATGACTGTGCCAAAGCAGTGATGAGCAACCTGAGTGCCCACGGCGTGAAGCTGGTCCTGCCCTCATTGTTGGCTGCTCTAGAGGAGGAGTCCTGGAGAACCAAAGCTGGTAAGATCTTTAGCCGGATGTCCTTGACTCTTCAGTCAGGCGTTGTCTGGAAACTGCTTTCTTTTGTGCCTCGTGCTGCCCACCGGCTGGTCGTTTTTTGCCTCCTTCACAGTGTGGAATTGGGGAAACAGGCTTGGAGTCAAAGGTTCTCTGTGTGCATTTGTGTGTGTGAAAGAAACCAGTTTCTAGTCCTCGTAGCAGAAACAGTTCAGATTTTTAAACGATGTATGCAAAAAAGGTTCTGCTTAGTGGGTGGGTGGAAAGAAGTTTGTGTATGCGCAACTTGTTTTTTATCTCTTTCCCATTTTCTGCACAACTCTCCATAAGCTTGCACAGCACTGAGAATAAGTCCACTGAAATTACTAGCCTACCAAAATTGCATTAGCTGTCCTTGTGCATGGCTATAGTTAGTTGTTGGCGGATTAGAAGAAATAAAAACCTTGCTGTTGTCAGGTTTCTGGGCCTAGTTGCTGGAGGGGTCATCTCATTCACCACAGACTGTCACACAAACGGCAGATTAACAAGCCTGGAAGTGCATTTTCCTATAGATATGCATGACGCTTGTTTTATCTGTCTTATTTCTGCAAAGAAGAGTTAGGAGGCTTAAGCAGTCCTGAGAATGGAGAATCCTGTCAGTTCTGGATGAACTTTCTTTTCCTGTCAGATGCGGTCGGCTTTCTGCTTTAGGAACTCCCAGCCTCTCAGTCCATTCCCCCCACTGCACACCTTGATGTCACCCAAACCTTCTGAGTTAATTGACTTTTACCTTTGCTCCAGTGAGTGTTTTGCTAATGTCCAACTTCATGCCTCCCTCAGGCTCTGTGGAATTGCTTGGGGCCATGGCCTACTGTGCTCCCAAGCAGCTCTCGTCCTGTTTGCCAAACATTGTGCCAAAACTTACCGAAGTCCTCACAGACTCCCATGTGAAGGTCCAGAAGGCGGGGCAGCAGGCGCTCCGGCAGATCGGGTCGGTTATCAGAAATCCTGAGATTTTAGGTAAGCATCTGTCATGCAGGATGTTTCAGACCAAGAGCATATTAAAGCTTTTGTTAAAGGATATCAGTGTTTCCACCCATAAATGTAATAATAATGTTGAAGCATACTGAGCGCAGGACCTCTCCATGAGCCATTTGGTTAGACCGGAGTAAATATCTGTGAGTTATGCGTCAGAAATAGCTGGGTGGAATGTAAGCACATATTGCAGATAGGAATGGATGGGGAGTGAGATGTTGTAGGGCGGGCTGTGTGCACCCCCTGTGGATCTTGAAGGTGTAGCCAACTAGGAAGAAGCAATTTATGGTTTGTCTGAAGCCTCCAGTTTGAGTCCCTGGTGGGCTCCCCCCGCTGTTTCAATCAACTTCAGTGACTGTTTGCAAGTGGATTTTGCCATTTCACACAGTAAAATCCAGTTGCAAAGTGGATTGAAAGTGCGTTATTTCGTGTGTGAGAGTGCATGTGTCTTGTGTTCTTGCTATTGTCAGTGGGTTTAGGACTGACGAAAGAACTTCACATCATGCAGAACTGTGGAGTTTGCTGCATGGTGACAGCCACTAGCTTAAACAACTTTTGAAGAAGATCTGATCTCCATGAATTTCATTTTATCCGTGGCTGCCAGTTGTGATGGCTAAGTAGAACACAGTATACTGCTGAACACCAGTTGCTCAAGCGGGGCAGACCTTTATGTCCTGTTCATGAGCAAGGGAAAAAATCGGTAAAAAGCTAGTGATACAATAAGAGAGAGCAGATGTTTATTCAATTGTAACCCCTGTGCATACCGTGTTAGCTTCACCAGGAGATAATCTTAGTTTTTGAGTGCCCCAAGACATCTAGCTGGCCTCTGTTTGCAAGAGGATGATAGATGTGATGGATCGTTGATCTGATCCAAGACGGCGATTCTTGTATTGGGAGAGACCCTTTTCCAAGAGGGGTTCCATTGCTGTTAGCACAACGACGTCCTCTTTCTGTGACCTTGTTCCATCTCCTTTCCCAACTTGCAGCAATTGCGCCAGTTCTCCTGGACGCCTTGACAGATCCCTCCAGGAAGACTCAGAAATGTCTACAGACTCTGCTGGACACCAAATTCGTTCATTTCATCGATGCACCTTCTCTAGCCCTCATCATGCCTATCGTCCAGAGAGCTTTCCAAGATCGCTCCACAGACACCAGGAAGATGGCAGCCCAGATCATTGGGAATATGTATTCACTGACTGATCAGAAGGTATGCTGCTGAGGGACCGCTTGTCTGCTGTAGACTTTTTGCAGAAGTGCAGGCAGGTCCAGTTAAGGCATTATTATGTACCATATTGGGAATCACACATCAACACGCATGAAGCTGCTTTATACTGAATCAGACCCTTAGTCCATTAAGGTCAGAATTGTCTACTCCTCCTGGCAGTGGCTCTCCTGGGTCTCAGGCAGTGGTCTTTCACGTCACCTAATACCTTGTCCTTTCAACTGGAGATGCCAGGGATTGAACTTGGGGCCTTCTGCATGCAAAGCAAAGGCTCTTCCACTGAGCCATGGGCCCTCCCCAGCTGCCTTTAAATGAAGGCAGTATATGCCATCTCTGTCTTACATTTCTATCCCATCCTTCCTCCAAGGAGCTCACGGTAATGGACATAGTTCTTCCCTGTTCACCGGATCTTCCCAGTGAGGCTCAGTGTGTGTGACTGGCCCAAACTCACTCGATGAACCTTATGGCAGAGTGGGGACTTGAACTAAGCGCTCACCAAGAGCCCGCATGGTGTAGTGGTTAACAGCAGCAGGAAGGGAAGGCGACTGTAAGCCACTTTGAGACTCCTTAGGGTAGAGAACAGTGGGGTATAAAAAACAACTCTTCTCCCTAGAGCTTAGTTGGACACTAACATCTACAGCACGCTAATACTCTTCTGTCTGTTTCACATGGATCTATTAGACCAAATGTGATGGAACATACCCTCCCTGTTCCTTTGAGTTGGTCTCCAAGAGGCTGGAAAACCCCACAGCTGTTCCAAGTCTGCATTTTTGGAAGCTGC